TTGTTACCCTGTCTGGCGCTCGGCATTAAGGGGCTAAAACAAGGACTGGTCGGCTCGGAGTCAGTATACTGTGTCTGATTGGGGTATTCATGTTATACTGTGGCATGGTATCTCAGTGAGCTAGCACTATAAATCAGCATCAGTCCGGTCTAGTACAAGCACACACACACATAGACGTACATTCACGTTGCTATATAAGTGCAATAATCTTGGACGCGACGTTAAACCCAATTTCACCTCACCTCACAGTAGTCTTTGTATAACTTAATATAAACATGACAACTGGAGATTTCTAGAATGGGTTTATACCACAATTAGAGTTATCTGCCAATTCGAGGCCTTTTATCGGTCTGACTTGTTTCTTGTTTACTTGTGACATTTGGATAAATATTTGGAAACGCCATATTACCGACATCTGCCAATACTGTTTGAGGCTCAAGAACGAGGCCTCTTTCAAAAAAACCAACAGTGACAACATTATGGTCATTCATGCGTGCAGTAATATTAATTGTATGGCCCGTTACTTGTTGTTACTACCACCTATTTGGCCGATGGTATTGCCTTTTTATTGAAAACCTAAAGCATGCACTGATCTTGTACAGCCATTTACTAATTTCACAATTCTTATTTCTGGATTCATCTTTTGAATCCCACAGCCAACATGAGATTGAGTGGTTGTTACATGAGTGAGTGAGTTGGGTTTAACGCCGCTTTTAACAGTATTCCAGTTATATCACGGCGTGTCAGCTTAATGTGAGAGGAAAGCCCGAAGGGATGCAGGTCTCAAGACGTTTACCACTTCGGTGATACCCACGAGCACGGGTATGGTGCTGACAAACCTAGAAACATAATCGGGGCGAACCGGGATTCGAACCCACAATAATAGGTTTCTGGGCCACCCGTGCCCCCGATTGTTACATGATGTTCCAGCAAATGTTTTACTCTTCATATATTGTATGCATGAATCTATTCCAATTTAGATGCTTAGTACCCAAAGCGTGTCGAATTGGTTTAGGAGGCCCGCCACGCCGAAAACCCGGGTTCGATTCCCGACATGGGTACAATGTGTGAAGCCCATTTCTGATGTCCCCCTCCGTGATATTGCAGGAATATTTCTAAAAGCGGCGTAAAACCTCACTCACTCACTCAAATAGTAATGATACCAGGTGTTCGCGAAAAGGTGAGTGTATACTGCCCTACCGGTGGCACCCGTCACAAATACATGCAAAGTCAAGTCAATTGTTCACTTGAAAAAACACGGGAACATATGGCGCTGGTCATCAAGTTAGGGTAGCTGCACACGCCTATTGAATTGTCCAGGCAGCACCACCGACATGGCAAGGGTCAAATTGTTTCGTGATTACATATGACTGAAGTAAAATATTAAAAAATCCGCATGATGTATGTATGAAACTTATGTTACAAAATATGCACTAGGTTATCATTACTGCATGAGAAGAACGCGCAAGATTCTTGTTATGCAGGTCTGTATCCACATACCCTAAAGGACAATTTCAATATTTTGGAGAGTCCCGGTGGTCGGTGGCTATTGTCGTCAAATGTTTCAAGGAAAGGTTTGACATTTGTGATGTTGCTCATGTCTGTAGGTTTTGCTGAAGCTATGTGCTGGTGTCCTTGCTGAGCTGAAGTTACTTCAGACCCTCTTTGGCCTCAGGTCGTCTGTGCACCATTGTTAGAAAGCCGTTTGTTTTATTCTGGTAGAGAAGCACATTGCAAACCACTTTAGTAAAGTTAAGTCATTACTGGACCTCACTGATGTCAACAACCAATGTTGGTTAATCATTAACGCAGAGATATGACCAATCGATTTCAGCAAATCGACTATAATGCAGTACTTGTCAGCGTCAAATATACAGTACTACGTTTTGGATCAATGTTGCTTTGATTGTCATTCTTCTCCTTACCAACGTCACTATGCATTACACATGATAGTTGCAGGAATGCTTGCATCATATAGCCGTTAATACAGTGAAACAATAGGCAAGGCAGTAGTGTAACGGTGGCATCATCTGGAATGAACATATGCATGTGTATGAGTGATTTACTATCTCAAAATAACTTTTAGTCACAAGACTCGTAAGACACTCAAGTTTCACCTAATGTCTACAATGTTTATAAACATATTCCATCCATGGCCAGATGTTCCAAGTAGAAACATATTCATTCCGGTTGATGTCAAACGTTACAGGTGGTAGATTGAAGTGTGTTGATGGAATATGTTTAATTGAATAGGTTGTGAGTGAGTGGGTGAAATGGGGTTTTAACATCGCGTCCAAGATTATTGCACTTATATAGAGACGTGCATGTATGTGTGTGTGTGTGGCTGCTTACACTAGTCCGGACTGATGCCGATTTATAGTGCTAGCTCACTGAGATACCATGCCACAGTTTAACATGAATACCCCACTCACACACAGTATACTGACTCCGAGCCGACCAGTCCTTGTTTTAGCCCCTTAATGCCGAGCGCCAGGCAGGGTAACAACAAGTACCATCTTTTTGTATGACCCGGCCGGGTATCGAACCCCGGACCGCCCGCTCTCTGGGCGGACGCTCAACAACTAGACCACGGAGGCGGCCTTGAAAAGGTTGAATAATTCATTACATTCTATTTACCTGTATATGGGCAAGATATGAAATGAAACCCTTGCACAAAGATTATATTACACTGACCACAAAATTCTCCTTCGCACGTATATAATATGGATTATTCAGACTTGTCTGATGTGTTTGATATATATGTTGTATTAATTTAGGCCTGGTTAAAAAAACTGAAAGGTTACACCCTGTTATACCCTCAAAAACTATGGTATTGTTTCTGAGCTTATCGTAGGTACATTTTTAAAATATTCAGATATTTTTTCTCTTTTTCTTTGACGTTTACAAGCGCTCGCATGTTTTTAAACAGATAATATTTCACAAACAAATGTATTGTACATAAAACTATATTTTACAAAAGTCATTGTTCTGAAATGTGATCAGGATACTATCCATCACTTGGGTAAAAAATCTGACAGTTTTGAAGCTGTGGGACAAAATAGTGAATTCTGAATCACTTCTGACATTCTGATTACTCATTGTGTTTCAATGGGGACGATGTGTTATTTGGGACAGTCTCCAGTAGAGTGTGGTGCATAGGGGCACATTACCCTGTTTCCTTCTCAGTCGGCCTCGACCAAGGTCAGTTACTGTCTCCATTCTTCTCAACGAACTCCTTGCTACACTACACCTGAAAGTACACTGTTTGCCTGATACTTGGAATTCCGAATCCACTTACTCACCCTCGCCTTATAAAAAGTAGACACTGTTCCTACACTGATGGTCCATGTAGATACCGATGTCGATGTTGTTGCATTCAGACAGGAATGTTATTTGCTGAGAACATTTCATTTAACCAAATAAAAAGTGTGAAAGACTCTTCTTGTCAATCAACTTGGCTGGGTGGTGAGAAGAAATGGGATTGAACGTCGCGTTCTTGATTATTGAACTTAATTAGCGACGTGCATGCACGTGTGTGTATGTGTGGCTGCTTGTACAAGCCCTCGTCACGATGTGGCTGAAATATTGCCGATGTAAACGTAAAGCATTAACTCACTCACTCACTTGTACTAGTCCAGACGAAAGCCGATTATAAAGTACTAGCCCACTGGGATACCATGCCGCAGTTTAACATGAATACCCTACTCAGACGCAGTATATTGACTCCGAGCCGACCAGTCCTTGTCTTAGCCCCTTAATGCCGAGCGCCAGACAGGTAACAAGTACCACCTTTCAGCGTCTTCTGGTATGGCGCGGCCGGGGATCGAACCCTGAACTTTCCGCTCTTTTATTTTATTTTGTTCCAAACAGGGAATATAAGTAAAGATTTGTAGCCTTATCTTACCTTACACATGACGGTGATTGTGATTGGCTGAGACCCATTCTGTTATTTTCAATATATCCCGCTAACATGCAAGGTACATTTCGTATGCTCGAATTTGCCGAATTTATGGCATTACATTTTCAAAATATCAATCAAAATTTTGTATTAACTTGGGGTGTTCAAAGGTGCACAAATTAGACAGATGTGTTGAATCATTAAGACGTTTATTCAGATCAACCAAATGCAAAACCGAACACTTTCACTGCACAAACTACACACAAAGGCGCGAACGGTGACAATACCAGATTGATAGTAAGAGCAACAACTTACGACACTGTGGTACGATGAAATACAATCTACTCAGTTATCGAGCCTGACAACCCATCACATTAAGCTGGCTCTTACGACAAGTAAAGTTTTGTGGATACATATTCTGACCAGAAATTTCCAGGGGGTAAGAACCTGAATTAATAATTGTCTATGACCTTAACCGGCATTACGTACATTGTACTTTGGTGGAAACAGCACCCAAACCAACCAGGTTCAATCAGCTTGACATGAATGTGTGAGTATTATGTCATCCTTAGCTGTCGGACCTGGCCATATGGCGAACGAACACTTCCACCACTCGTCTATCGTAGATTCCCCATTGTTCTATTGTCTATGACAGGCTACTATTGGATCGGATTGTCAGACTCAGTGCCCTTGGCCCACTTGCACAAAGCGATCTTAGCGCTAAGTGATAGTAACTCCCATACATCAACATGGGCTTAAGATAATCTTAACGCTAAGATGGTTTTGTGCAAGTGGGCACAGGTTGATTGCATGTCACATGTTTGTCTGGCCTAGATTCGATAATATACAAGCCGCCGTTATGAAGGTAGAATATCTCTATCTTTATTGATGAAATAAACACACTGCAAGCAGACCACTGTACATCTATGTTGGTTATCTCACAACAGCATGGTATGAGATACGCGGAGGTAGCCACAGCATCACTTGACCAAGTGTCATGTGTACCAGTTGCTGGAGGTGTGACGAGTCCAGCTGGCTAACCCAGAACTGTGCCATAAGCATGACAGACATTTTGAAGCTCGCCCACCAAACATTGAAAAAGTGAGATCAGCACGATGTTTAATGAAGAAGACGATACAGTCAGGAACCACGAAGGTAGCCACAGCATCACTTGGCCAAGTGATATTTGTACCAGCTGCTAGAGGTATGACGAGTCCAGCTGGCTCCTGGGTCAGAACGGTCAAGGGACATTTAGTGCCAGTTTGAGGTTGTGCGTGAAGAAGCTCCAGTCGTAGGGTAGCATAGTAGTTAAAGCGATCTCTCGTCACGCCGAAGACCCGGGTTCGATTCCCGACATGGGTACACTGTGTGAAGCCCACTTCTGGTGTCTCCTGGAATATTACTATAAGCGGCGTAAAACCATACTCACTCACTCCAGTAGCCACATGCAGAGCCAGAACAGTTCTAGTGACATTGACATTGTGGGTGAGTAAACACCGTTCATTGCATGCAGCTCCTGAGTCAGAACTGTCCTAGGAACACAGAGGTTGAGACTGTCGGTGGTGAGGCACATGTTACAGCCAGCTCCTGGGTCAGAACTGTCCTAGGAACACAGCTGTGTGAGGTTGAGACTGTCGGCGGTCAGGCACCTGTTACAGGCAGCGTCTAAGTCAGAACTGTCCTAGGAACACAGCTGTGTGAGGTTGAGACTGTCGGCGGTCAGGCACCTGTTACAGGCACCTCCTGAGTCAGAACTGTCCTAGGAACACAGCTGTGTTAGGTTGAGATTGTCGGCGGTCAGGCACCTGTTACAGGCAGCTCCTGAGTCAGGCTGCACCTGGAGGACCACCACAGCATACGTCAGGATTGTACCCACCACCTAGACAGAAAAAACAACAGAGAGATTATGACTTCATTTCTAACATAATTATCCATTTAAAAAAAGATGCGTACATCAACATTTTAAAGGAAGGCAACGATTACATCACATGCAAATAAAAGCAACAAAACCCTTTCCATATTCATAAGAAATCTCGATTGTTCGATTCCGACTATACCCTGAGCATGTGTTTATGAATCACTATGAAATAGTGATGATACCAGGTGTTCGCGAAAGAATGGGCGTATCCTGCCCCACAGGTGGTACCCGTAACAAACACATGCAAAAGCAAGTTAGTTGTTCACATTAAAAAACAGAGGAACATATGGTAGTCAAAACCGGGAATGTCATCGAACATCATTTTTGTCACTAATGCGTCAACTTTGGAAATGTCCTCCACATGTCTACCATAAATCTTTTCGAAAATTTTACAAAGGCCTTGATTGTATGACGCCCTTTGAAATCGGGGTAAAAAGAACACGACCGATTGTACCTCAAACGTTTTGAAATGTACACACCAAGGGCTGGAGCTGCAGGAATATTGTTCGACATGAAGAGAAAGTTGAAAATGACTGTTTGATTTGTAAGGGGGAAATCTCGTTTATGAGCCTGAATAATCTATCTTTCAGGTGAACATGCAAGAAAGTAAATGCCAATTTTTAGCATCTACACCCTGGAAACAGCGTAACTGTATAGTACCGTTTTTTCAGCAACAATCCATGCATTAGCGTGAGAACAAATAATGTTCGCATGTGGGTAATAAAACCTATGTTTTCGGTAAATCGTATTAACCACAACGTTAACCCAACCACCACCCCTCACACCCTCCTAACAGTAAAGCCAGTACGAGATGATCTGATAGTAGCACGTGTACACAAGATCGACGGAGCTAACTGATTCAAGGACAATAGTGGGTACAACGCCAGAAACAGCGTTCAAATGACATATTTGTTTGTAATTAAATAACATACCATCAAAATTGTCGATCTGTCGATTGTGAACAAGCCATAGACAGAATAGCCGACCTTTTCAGAAGCGAGCCTGGCCACGAACAAGGAAATCTGTGAAAAATAAACGTAATGGGTTTCATAAAGACTTATTATTTTGAAGATTATATATAAATAGCCTTTACGCGATGTCCCATGATAATGTGATCATGTTATAACTGCACTAATCCAACGTTGACAACAGATCCATCAGTGCACTCTACATCCACAACAAACTCATCCATACATGCATCAGCATTTAATGTGCTGTCGCCGTAGCTCGCTGTGCAGATGTACCACCGCGTGAGGATCCTCTAACTCTGGCTTTGAATCCAAGTCTCACTACATTATAATGACCATTTCTATGTTAGCACCCCTGCTTGTGGGTTACAAGGAGATCTTCTAAGACCTGCATCATTTTAGTTCTACCTCTCACATTAAGCTGAGATTTGTGATATAACACCCATGTCTTGATGATTCTGCCATGCGCATCAGCTCACGGCGTTCCCTTAGTTGCCAGGATCCCCTTGAGTCCCATAAACCATTTGTATTGTTTGTGTATTTCTCCTTCCCCGCTTGCATATAGCCGTCGAGGACAAAAGTAACCAATTCCCCTTTTGTCAAAGAACTCCGCGCTGTGAGGACATACGTGAGAGGGAATCTTTCATCATCAACACAGCAGGCGTTAAACTTCGGATATAGCATAATAACAAGTTGTGAATCATTTGAACGGGTTTCTTAAACAACCATGTTATCAGATGTCTACCTGACAAAAGGCAAGTATTTGTTTAATAATCTGCCATATACTACCCCCCATTATCATACTGTTGATATTGGCACAGCAACATATTGTGGCATGATTAACCAACTCACCTTCTGGGTAGTCCCCTCCGAATAAGACGCCCAGTTAGAGCGGAATATGTGTTGCAGGGGTTCGTTTGCCTGAAAATAATATACAGTATATCAACGATTATCAGAGCGCCTATATATGATTAGCAATGTTGGGGTTTTTTTTCAAATAAACACCGAAGCATCAGAATATTGACTTATCCGTCCTTTTCATACAATCAGTCAATGTCATTTTTTGTTGTTGTACGGGCTATTTTACACACATGCCAAAATGCAGAGACTAATCTCCTAAATAAAGCTATAAAATTAAATTGCAAACATAAAATGGTCAAAATATGCATATGTTCTACCACGTACATCTTTCAGTTAAACAAAATAAAACTAGTCTGGCCACAATAGACTATGAATTAAGAATGATGATATTTTCCAAGGCAAGGAGTAGCTGAGAAAATCATAACCTTTTGAATCGCTGTATTAATATAATATATCAACAAATAAAGCCTACCATATATTAATTTCTACTATTTATTTCATGGCTGAACAGCAAAAGCATAAAACAACAAAAACACGATATAAGTATGATAAATTAGTTATTTTCGCAAACAGTAACCTTGTACCCCATTAAATAGTAATTTGACAATCATATATTTAAACAACTGGTGTTGAAATTGAGTCATGAAATCATTCATGAACTTATGCAGCACTAATACATATACATGTCGCTGTTACAATGGTTCAGACTTTCTTCCTGCTTTCTCCGGCTTATGGGCCAACCACAACTGTCGCCTACTCTGTAATCTGTCTGTAATACGTTCTCAGTCACTGATCCTACCCTGATATTGAGGTTTGCTCCCATTGCTGTTATGAAGGCCATATAAAACAGGACCGTTATAAGGTTCCATGAATTGAATATGATATCGTCAACCGGAAGTGATCCTCGAATGACTCCAAAAGCAAGACAGCAGATGATTGGCATCCCGAACAAATAGACAAGGGCTGCAAAGTGACACACCATCTCATTAGCTGCGCCCGTTAGCTGGCACAGGTTCTCGTGGCGTTGTCGCAGTATATCAAATTTTGTCTCAAAGTAAACCTCCCCATTGGCTAGCGCATCCTTGAATGCCTTGGAAACAAAACTGAATTCAAGCTTCAAGCAGTGGGTCAAAACCAGGAAGAGGATGAAGATTGAAACGAATGTCAATCCAACCACCATCATCAGGTATCCATGGAGAGCCATCAGCATGGTGTACTCTACCCCGGATGCCGATTGAAACGGCGTCAGATGTCGGCGTAAAGAGGGCAGTAGGCTGTGTATACCTTCTGATATTGTTAAAAGATATGCCAGATCTAGTATGAGGCCAATTATAAGGATGATCCTCAGTTGTGACTTTGCCTTGGCCAAATACGGAGAGCTCCCGTATTCTTTAATGTAGCTCTTCATTTCATCGATGAAACGTGGGAGCCACTTGTATATCGGCTTGGCCATGACAATGGACAGAATGGCTCCTAAGGTATAGAGGAGGAAGAGTGACAAAGATCCCATCAAGCTGCCTCCAAATTCGGTGTCGATGAGGAACACTGTGGAGTAGCGAGCCATGTTGAACACAAGGACAAGCTTCATGGTAACGCAGTGAAGAAGCTCTAGGGCATTGCACATTCTGTGTTTGTTACAACCGATGTAGAAACCGGACACCCGTAGGAGCAGATGTATTGGTCGAAATATTCCATCAACATTTCTGTTAACACTGTCTGTGTCACTGCAAGCAGGCCGATGTCCTGTGGTTGAAATTGGTTCCACTTTAAGCTTCATGGTTCAAGAAAACAAATGTTGGCTCATAGAGGCATGGTATTATTGCAGTATGATTTTCTTCGTACACATTTTCTAATTAGAAAAAAACATTGAAGGTTTGACTCCGATAGGATAGGGTTGTTATATGTCCACAGAAGCTATCCCTAGAGTCACGAAGTAGGATCTAAGTCAATGTTTCTGAATGACTACGTTTTATAGATTCCTGGCAAATATTCGTGGAACAATGCTATTTAAGAAGTGTACACACGACAACGAAAACGTACATCTGCATTGGTTACAGGCTAAATGCAAATGTTTTCTAACTAAACACGAATTGTAAATCTATACAACTTCATCTGCCTCTTATAATCCGGCTAGTAGTGGGTAAACCAAAACATTATCGTATGGAGCTATTAGCCTAATGGATTTCCATTGTTTGAAACAGCATGACGACAATACTAATCTGTGTTCCTGTCATGATAAGGACCTCTTTATTGGTTTAGCAGCCAACCCTATGATTGAAGGGTAATATTTGTAAGTCGTTGATTGTTATTCCCTTAACTTATGTTCGCCGCATTTCTATTGCTGCATTATGCCAAATAGCACTGTAGAAGTATTGGATAAAAACCGAATGTAAACCCGGGAAATTAATAAATTGCGTCAGGTCGAAGATGTTTTTATCAAAAAATGTGTTAACCGGAATGAAAACAGGCCAACAGGTACACCATAATGGCGCATTATCCGTCATTAACAATAACATTATTTTTGTAGATATACTGAGGGAAACAAATAAGGGAACACATGAAAATACATGTTCCTTTATTCTTTTCCAGGTTTCTTCGCATGCTTTGAGTTGCTCTGTGGGTGAAAATCTGGAAATAAATAAAGAAACAGTGTGATAAAGTGATGTTCCCTTATTTGTTTCCTTCAGTATATAAAAAAAAACATAAGCAAATTCTTTCTCGCGTGCATGTAATGTTCTGTGTCGATTTTCTTTTGTTTTCTTCACAAATCAAAATAACAACTTCATAAAAATTCTACCAACATGAAAACCCTGTGTTAAAAGTAACGTTTTACGTTCTATAGCTTCATGAAGTTGGGACTCAATAACAGAGGATTATATTTTCGAAGAATCTCACAGTTCATGCTGTGCGTCCATCTAACCTCCTGGAACATGTGAAATGGTGAGGGGAAATAGAGTTTCATGATTATTGCACTTATTTAGCGACAAGCATGTATGTATGTGTGTGTGGCTGCCTGTCACGGAGCTGTGCTCCAATACTTACTTACTTAAATTGGTAATTCAACGTGCGCTTTCCGACATATGCCTATTTCGCGCACGGGCCCGCCAGGCCATTTGGTGTTTGGTCGAAAGGGGTATGTCCGAAAAGGTGAGGATACCTGGGTGGGGCTTTTTAGGGTTGCTTACTGCATTTGGAGAACAAATTTGGAATTTTGAAATATGCCATGCACAAGGTGGAGGGGGGACTAAAAGGAGTTTGTGTGTTTTTATAGGTTTAGAATTTTAGGTTTTATTGGCAGCTTGTTTGTTGTTCTTTTAGTTTTAAATGCGGCCAACTAGGCCTGTTTTGATTAGATATATGCCTAGTGCTTTAAAGATTTGTAAGTCATTTAGGGGGATTAGTACCGTTGCTAGTGTCATCTGACTGTTGTAATTTAGTGTGGATTGGAGCGTCGTTCTGTGTTGCCTGCTCCAATGATCAGGGGTGTCATAAAATAAGTATAAAGTGATAAACAAAACGTGGTTATAGGTTCTTAGGTTTATTAGATTACAATTAATTGTGCTCATAGTTGACAATTAAAAACAAAGCCAATCTGCGCTCATACAAATCACAAATTAATTCTATCAGCGCAAATATACAAGCGTTTTTTAGCCGGACAATTGTATTACAGCTATAAAAGGGAAGGTAGCTAAAACAACACTTTGACAAGATATGGAGCCGGTGCGTCGAGTGCCGATTAAGTCGGCTGCGACAAATTAACACCTGAGTCAATTAACTCCACACTCTAATGAGTGAATAACCTCGGCTCAGTAAACAAAGGGGGTATAAACACCGAGGGTTTATCCCTAAAATGAGACACTTAGACAACAAAAATAGACGATTACGTCTGAAAATCAACTAGTCTTAATCGACTAATGTTTCCGTCACTTTGACTGAACAAGGAAATACTAAAGTATTGGAAACACTAGTCACTAAGCGCCTAGTCAAACACGGGAAGGTTGGTTATCCACGTATTGCTAAAAAACTGAGTATGAGAAACACAATTTACAAAGACTTCAAATCACGCAAAAGCTGGTTATCCACAGAACAGAACAGAACTTTACTACGCTCAGGCCGAGATCCTCGGCATATGAGGTACAAAATGACGCAAAATACACATTATAATAGCGGATATGTGGTGAGCCGGAAGATTTTACAATTTGCATGACATATTTACAGAATTTACTAAGGGTTTTTAATACAGATATCTCTTTACAAGTGAAAAGTCTTTGAAATTTAACCATATTAGGTCTTTTAGAATATGTAGGTGGGATATACAAAATTCTTTCTCAAGTGAAATATGGACATTTAAAAATATAGTGAAATTCATCTCCAATATCATCAATAAAACACAGTTTACATTTTCTTTCACAAATAGGTATCCCATTCCATCTTCCTTTTTTAATTGGTAAGTGGTGGCATGAAGTACGAAATAAAAGTAGAGGGATAGCTTTATTTAGGGGTAGGGACTAGCAAAACTGAATATCCTGTCGAGGACCGCAGGGGAATACCACCGATGGGGGCAACAAGCCAACGTGTGTTTCTAAACACGGGAAAAACACGAATAGCAGACTAACTACTATATTTACACTGGAGATGTTAGTATCAAAATATGAACATAAGCTATCCAACGGTAGCATTAAAGTTTAACAACAAGCTATGTACAATTATTGAAAGGCAAAAATGACCATAAATACTTGAGAAATATCTGAATGTAGATATGAATTCCCCTAGTGTTTGCAAATCATGAATACAAAAATAAACATTTTTAATACAAGATTATAGTAGAGAACATATGCCAGATAACATACATTCAGTCATTACATGGTTTGAGAGTGTCATTAGATTAAAAGAGAGAGACATAGTTTGGCCACTAATTCTCTAACACCAAATGATCACACACATTACACATTCGTGACCAACTCGTGTTATTCCGGGACAAGCCGAATAGCGACTCGTGCCCCCCTCGTGGCCATTTTTGCGACCGGGTTTCGGGTTCCGTCTTAGCGCAAACGGGCATA